AGCTACAATTACTTCAGGTAAAAAATGTAAAAGTTTACATATAAATGAACAACAACTGAACTACATTTAGTGAGCTTGTGCTTAAAAGGTCTGTCAATAGGATCGGAAAATTACCTTTGAAATATGTTGCTTTTTCTGAGCCCATTAGTACATTTTTGTTCGTGAAGTTTATTCATAAACAAATTTCGAGAGGATCACGTGCTTATGATTGTTCGCAGCTGTTCCAACTTTAGCTAATGACTGATTATCCTATCAGACGATCCTTAACTCACTATAAATAACCAGACTTTTCTCATCTCAATATCTTCGTCTCGAAGAAACCCCTCCCCACCTAACCCTACTTTCCCTCCTTTCAAACGGGCGTCACGGTGGCCAGCGATTAGCGCTGTTGCCTCACAGCAAGAATGCCCCAAGAATGGAATGGTTTAATTCCTTTCCAAACCAGACAGCATTTCTGTGCGGAGTTTGCTCGTTCTCCCCGTGGTCATGTGGGTTTTCCCCGGGTCCTCCGGTTTCCTCCCACAGTTCAAAAACAAGCACTCTAAACAATTAATCAAAATACATTAGCTAACCTCTGAGTACACCTTCCAGTATACATATCTGACACTTAGCTACAACAAGCAAGAAGGGGAGTCATCGAGATCTACCTGAGCTCAAACTCCCCTCTCGCCTTGCAACGGGAGGGAGCCCAGGGCTCGAGGATCTTATAAGCTCAGGGCTCTTTCCCGGGACAGCACGCCAAACTAGCTTTACTATCAATCATCAGCTAAGTGTGAACTCTTGAATTGTTTATTCATAAAAAGCTTCATAATCAACATGAAAGATGTTTACGATTGTTTAGATGTTTGTGACAAAAAAAATAGATTGAAAAACAAATTTGTGCAGTATGATCAGGTGAAGCACGATCGCCTCACTGCAAGGAGATCACTGGTTCAAGCCTCGGCTGGGTCAGTTGACATTTCTGTGTGGAGTCTGCATGTTCTCCCCGTGTTTGTGTGGGTTTCCTCTGGGTGCTCCGGTTTCCCCCACAAGTCTAAAGAAATGCACTATAGGTGAATTGGGTAAGCTAAATTGGCCGTTGTGTATGTGTGTAATTGAGTGTGTATGGGTGTTTCCCAGTGATGGGTTGTAGCTGGAAGGGCATGTGCTGCATAACTGGATAAGTTATATATAATATGCTGGATAAGTTGGCGGTTCATTCCGCTGTGGCAACCCCAGATTAATAGAGGGATTAAACCAAAAAGAAAATGAATAAATGAATGAATGATCAGGTGGTTCAGTAAACATTATCTCTATATTCTACCGTATAAATGTACATATAGAGAACGTATTGTCTCTTTCAAATGATTAATTACATTTCCTTTACATGCTTTTTAAAAAACCTCTCAAAAAGTCTTATTCACCTTCATAAAACATGCACAAACCCTGTTTTTGTAAAAGTCGCCAGCAGAGGGAGATCATCTACAGTGTCCCAGTACACTACTCACAATACTATACTATACTATACTATACTATACTATACTATACTATACTATACTATACTATACTATACTATACTATACAGTATAGAAACACATTGATAAAGAACATTGTTAAGATGCTGAGTTCACAACATTGAAAAATCATTTGTACAAGGTTTATATGGTCATGGAAAAATGAGAGAGGTCTGGATGCAGACATGGTGCAGTGCAATCTGGGCTGCATCCAATGCTTTTTAATGGGGTCACCTAACCCCACCCTTCTAAGTGATGTAATCTCAGCTTGCATCATAAATTTTGACATGGCATTTTCAAGGCCGGGAAAAGTTTTGGAAAAACAGAAAAATAGAAAAACCCACAAGGAAAAGTCATGGAAATTACATTTACATTTAGTCATTTAGCAGTAATTTTTGTCCAAAGCGACTTACGCTGCGGTCACGCTAGAGCTTGTGCTTGCAAAATTTTGCCTTATAGCGCTGCGAAAAGGGGTGGGGTTAAACAATATGATTAGCTATTAATAAAAGTGAGCGATTGCTTCTAATTTAAAGTAATGGTCTCATGCAATCACCTGATGTGATTACGTAGGTAAGAATTCATCAAGTTTAAACTTTTGAATGCAGCGAAATGCGAAACTTGTCGCACGTGCTTGTGTTTCCGGTCTGCCGGATTCGCATCCCTATGAATGGAAGTCTATGGAGCGAAAAGTGGAGTGTGACCGTGGCTTTATAATAGAAGTAGTTTTACCTACTAAAATAAATATATCTATTTAATAAATCTGTTTTGTTTTAATGCACCAAAATACATTGCCTATATTTGCTGAGAAATGGATAAAAATATTCATTTTCAAAATGGGGTGTGGGGTGACAGTGTTCACCCAGTGTTCGCTCTGGGTGCTCCGGAGTTTCCCCCACAAGTCCAAAGACGTGGTACAGGTGAATTGGGTAGGCTAAATTGTCCGTAGTGTATGTGTGTGAATGAGCGTGTATGGATGTTTCTCAGTGCTGGGTTGTGGCTGAAAGGGGCTCTGCTGTGTAAAAACGTGCTGGATAAGTTGGCGGTTCATTCCGCTGTGGTGACCCCAGATTAATAAAGGGACTAAGCCGAAAAGAAAATGAATGAATGAATGAAAATGGGGTGTGCTCAATTATGCTGAGCACTGTACTTGAGTATATCTTTGAAATGATAGTCTGTAGAACAGTATGTCTCTGAAAATCTTAATCAACATTTGGGCAGTCCGTCAGGGTTGTTCTCCAAAGCCATATTTTTTTGCTGGCGAAGAATATCTTACTTTGAATATTACGTTCCCTGGCTTCTTCCAGCTTTCGGTTATAATAGTTGGTAAGAAGTGTCATCTGGACCATCCTTTATTGTCAGCAGAGAAATGACCCACTTCAGTATGTCATCCTAGACCTCTTCAAACTCTCTATCAAAGCGTCTCTTTCATCTCTTATGTTTCTACTCATCACTAACAGCTGTTTTTGCAAGCATAGAAATATCTGAATATGTAAGAAAAGTTTTGTATCCTTTACATTTCATGTCATTAAGTCATCCAGACACCACAATGTTCATGGCAGATTTATTTATTTTCTTTATTGTTTTGTTGTTATTCCAAACTTTTAGAACTGTTGTGAGACACAGTTAATTTGAGACTCTGTTTTTTGTTCATACTCTACAGTACAGGTCAGTTCTATTTTAGTGATGAATGAATGATGACAGTAGTAGGTTTATTTTGTGCAGCAAAATCAAGAACAGAAAAACAAGAAACAAATCTAAAACAAGCAAATACAAAAAGCAAGAATAAGTCATAAAACTACAACAAGAAGGCATTTAATATGATTTTGTAGAGATGTATAATTGAATTATGCATTGAATTGCTTGGTCTGATACAAAATTGAAAAATAAATGTGTGCCATGACAGATGTACATGAGAATCTGTTTATGCAAGTACAATTTACACTAAAAAGTGATTTAATCATGTTATAAAGAGCTGTTCAAATGCATTCAGACATCTGCTGACAAAATCATTTTTGTCACATTTCAGTTCCCGTTATTACAACACAGTTCTTGATTAAACTTAATTCCTGTGTGCAGTCTATTTTATTTTGTAAAATAGATATATATTGTTGTGGACTATATGAAAAAATATATAAATCTGATTGTGTGGATACTTTAAAAAAATTAGATAATAAAAAAAATAATGGACATTATAATGTAATGTGTGCATGCTAATGGAAAATAGCTAAAACATTTAGTTTAATTAAATGTAAAACTTTTTCAAAATTGGTTTATTCAAATATAAGAAAATTTTAATTCTGTCATCGTTTTCTCACGCTCGTGTTGTTACTTATGATTTTCTTTTTATCCCTCTATCTTTCTATCTTTCTATTTCTTCTCTACAAACATTTAGATGATTCTTTTGTCTTTTTGTCTGATTTATTATTTTTTTGTCTGGGAGAAAATGATTTAGATTTTTAGGTGAAACTTCACAATTTTCATTAGGTAATTAATTAGTTAATTGTAAAATTATTTAACTTTTTAAATTAGAAATTTTTGGATTTGCCACATCTTAAGATTTTTTGATTCAAGTTACTTTCCCGTTTCATCCTATATCGCTGCTTTGAAAGAATCCCTGTAAAACAGTTTTAAAAGTGACTTTTTGCATGTGTTTGTGATGTATAGGTCAAAGAAATGTACAAAAATCAAATAAAATGTACACATGATTAGAAAGCATTTCAAATACATGTAAAGTGTCTACATTAGTATTTCAAACAGCAAAAAGAATCAAAATATATGTGATATAATGTTCCATCAGCATAAGAGATGTTTTTTTGAAACTATTTTGTTTTAATGCTTAAAAAGTCTTCTTTATAGGGGACCTATTATGCCACTTTTTACAAGATGTAAAATAAGTCTCTGATGACCCTAGAGTGTGTATTTAAAGTTTCAGCTCAAAGTATCATTCAGATGTTTTTTTTATTATTCTTTGAAACTGGCCCTTTTAGGCTATGATCCAAAATGTGCCGTTTTTGTGTCTGTCACTTTAAATTCAAATGAGATTGAGCTCGCAGTCCTCTTTTAAAAAGTGTGAGGAGCTACAATCACCTGCACATCAGCATAACAGCAGGTTTTAAACAACATGTAATCTCTGTGAAGTCAAAAGAAGTGTCTAAGAAGAAGGTAGTCTATCAAGACTACACTGTAAAAAAAATCTGTTATTTTATGTTTTTTTCCGGTAGCTAGGGTGCCAAAAAAAAAAAAAAAGTAAAATATCGGCCGTTAAATTACAGACATTTAGCGTAAAATAACATGCGGTAAACTACTGAGGTTTACCGGAAATACAAATTTAAGTTTTTTTTTTTGCCTTTTACATAGCCTGATTTTTAATTGGTCTCCTTTAAGATATAAAGAGTCTTAAAATGTATGACTAAAAACCAGACATGCGAGCTAAACATGCAAAGCCTTGAAGAAAAAAACAACAATCCTTTCCAACAGCAATTATATATACTGAGAGTCATTTCTCAACCCTAATTGGTGTCGTCCTTCCAGAAGGTTTATCTTCTACAAAAAGACAACAATCCCGTCCTCCTCCATCGCCCCCTGAGGCAGGAGTAAATGAGAACTCAGATCGACCTGCCATGAGTTGCGAACATCACCAGAGCTGCAGCTTTCCTGTCTGATGGCCGCTTTAAACCCATAATAATCCTGCCTGTCGCTCACACTCCTTAGCCCGGTGTGTCCAGTGCAAGCAAGACAAGGTTGAGAGCGAAAAGACGCTGCTGAAAGGAGTGAATTCGGCCTTCCGGGAGCAACCTGAGGCCTGTATGAAGTGCTAACATGTGGAGATGAATATTGATGTTTGACAGGCCTCTCGATGACCAAATCTACATCTTCTTCACTCTCCGAGCCATTAAAACCATAGGCTTTCATTATCATTGGCAAACCGGGATAGCAAACCGACTCTGTGCTCTCGAAATAATGTCCCGTTGTTGAAGAAGCACAGCTTTTGCGAGTGATGTTGTTGTGCTGGTTTGCAGGTTTGACTGTGATGATGAGATTGTGGCTGTTGGCGATCATCATATCCGTCACCTGATCCAAAGTCTTGCCTGAAACCTCGATACCGTTCACCTCCAGGACCTGGTCGTTGAGGGCTAGCAAACCCGTGCAGGCTGCCAGTCCGCCGGGCACAATGCGGGAGATGAAGACCCCTGGGCGCTTCTCCAGGCCGTATGGAGTGACGGTGACTGTGGTGCCATCGCGAATAAAGAAGCCAAGAGGACGGTCTGAGTTTTGCCGGTACAAGCGAACTCTCCTGTGGGATTCCGGGACGAGGTCCACATCAATGATGGAGGAAACGGGACGGAAGTTGTGTGGTTTGCTGATCTGAAACGCTGGTTTTCTGTGGCTTATGGATTTCTTGCGTTTGGTCATGTCATCAGGACAGGCGCTGCACTGCTCTGCTTCCTCTGGGAAATGGGAAGTAATAGAGTAGGTAAGTGTTTTCTGCTATTATTGTAGATTATTATATAACAAACCTGTACAGTTATGATTGATCAATTAATTCATTCTAAACTTGTATTTTAGACTCATCCCATTTTGCTGTGACGATGTCCATAGAAACTTGAGTTAGAACATTTAACATTTAGTTTTTATTTATTTAAAGTTCCCCTAAAGTGCTTTGAAATGTGCATTTTGTATTCATTGTTTGTTGTAATTGATACATTCATTTTCTTTTCGGCTTAGTCCCTTTATTAATCTGGGGTCGCCACAGCGGAATAAACCGCCAACTTATCCAGCAGACGTTTTACGCAGTGGATGCCTTTCTAGCCGCAACCGATCTATGGGAAACATCCATACACATTAATTCAGCTCATCACTGAGTCTGTGTATTTCCTTGTGTAAATGTGTGTAAATTTATATTTATTCAGTTTTTAAATTAATTTCACTACTATTATTGTGGTATTAGTAATATTAAAATGTTCATATGATTTATTTACTAAGTAATACAGTTTGTAAAGTAATATTTTCCATATTTCAGTAGATAAATTATATGAGAGACTTGCTTTGTTTACCAAATAAGTGGATCTAATTAGATTTGCCTCGAAACATTAAATAAAAGTTTAAAATATAAATGAAGTTTTAAGTAATGATACTTTTAAAATCATTCCGCATAAATCCGCAGATTTTTTTACCAAGTTCTTAGAAATAGCAAAAAATGTTTCTGTCTGGCCGCATCTGTAATACAAATACAATATAAAAACTTTGTATTGGTGACTGTGGCTGTGGCACAGTAGGTAGCACGTTCGCCTCACAGCAAGAAGGTCGCCCTGTGTTCGCGTGGGTGTCCTCTGGGTGCTCCGGTTTCCCCCACAAGTCCAAAGACATGTGGTACAGGTGAATTGGGTATGCTAAAAATTGACCGTAGTGCATGAGTGTGTGTGTGAATGAATGTGTAATGAATATGTATGGATGTTTTCCAGTGATGGGTTGCGGCTGGAAGGGCATCCGCTGCGTAAAACATATGCTGGATAAGTTGGCGGTTCATTCTGCTGTGGCGACCCCAGATTAATAAAGGGACTAAGCCAAAAAGAAAATGAATAAATAAACTTTGCATTTTCAATAAATTAGACATTCAACTCAGATGTAAGTATTTTACTGTGCTGATATTTTAATTAAAACACTAAAAACACTAATTAAAGTTTTAAACGTTACAAATGTATCATTTTCAAAAAATTTTTTTACTCAAGTAACACTTTATAAAAAAATATTCAGCTTGTTTATTCTTATGGTATATCTATTTTGAGAATTTTTCCAAATAACCCAGGAAGCTCAACAAAATCTGCTAAAGATCGCAGGGGACGAAAAGCAACAAGATAATCTGTCTGGCACACAAACAAACAAACACACCACAGGGGAATACAAAGCAATTATACTCGAGTACATGATTCCTAACTAGATAAAAGCCTTCTTTTTCTTCCTCTTGCTATTCCTCCTTCTTCCTGAAGCAGACTAAAATAAAACCTGAATAAAATCTTCCTTGATTAAAGACCTTAAAATGACATCTTAAGATCATCACTTCAAATATATACATTTTATCTACATTTTTATACAATATGGTGAGAGTACTGTGTGCTACATACTGTAAAAAATTAATATGATCAATAAATTACAACGTTTTATATAATTCTAAGTCAGTAAAATAAACAAATTATATCTAAGTTTCATTTTTTACAAAATTTAATTTAATGTTTAAATTAAGTTCAAATGACTTGTGAAGTTAATTTGATTCAACTTAAAAATGTAAGGCAGCAATAGTTTTAATACTGTATTATGTTTTGATATTGCTGCTACAATAGGTAAGAGTATATGTGCATGTTAGGACCATACAGTATTTAAAAGGAAACTGCAGGTATTTCTGAGCTTGTACCTCGCAACTGTATGAAGATGCGCAGTAAAGACTGTGTGGAGCTCACAGCTTTGCAGAAGTTGTCATCATTATTGATAGGCAGCAGCTCTCCGTGAACATCTGCATATCCGATAAACACGTCCGTATGCCATAGCTGATGTAAACGCACTATGAGTCTGTAGAAGTCTTTATATCTGCCAGGCTCGTAGCGATCCACGGAAAACCTCCTGAACTCTGCACCATACTAGACAGCGAAGCACACGGGTGGATTGCATTAAAAATATAGGCAAGAATAAACGCATAATCACATTTATGATTTAATGGAAAATCAAAATGGTGTGTAAATATATATACACTTCCAGTCAAAAGTTTGGGGTCAGTAGGAATGTTTTAAAATAAGCTTCTCCTGCTCACCAAGGCTGCATTTATTTAATCAAAAATACAGTAAATAAAAAAACTATTCAAAAGTAGTTTATAATGTAATTTCATCATTTATTCCAGTAATTTTAAAGATGAATTTCCAGCTTCATTAGTCCTGTCTTCAGAGTTACGTGATCCTTCAGAAATCACTGTAATATTAATTATTATTAATGGTAATTGTAATAAAAACAATAATGACTGGAGTAATAATTTCATTTGAAACAACATACAATAAGAAAGCAGTTATTTATTTTAATAAATATTTAACAATTTAACAATTAGTTAGTTGAAGTCAAAATTATTAGACATCCTTTTTAAATTTTCTTTTTTTTCCCAGAGAGAATATCTTTTTTTAACACATTTTATGCATATTAGTTTTAAGGACTAATTTCTAATGTTTGTTTTTGTCATGATGACCATTCACAATATTTTACTGTAGTTATTTTTCAAGAAACTAGTATTCAGCCTAGTGCAATTTAAAGATCGTAACTAGGTTGTTGTTAACTATGCAAGTTATTTGTCATTAGTTGTGTGTTTTGTTGCCATTCTTCAAAGTAATACTTCTTAAGGGGGCTAATAATAATGAACTTAAAATGGTTATAAAATATATAAATATAAAACTGCTTTTATTCCAGACAAGTTAAAATAAATAAGACTTTTTCTAAAAGAAACAAATATATTATAGAAAATACTGTAAGTATGTTCATATATGTTAAACATCACATGGGAAATATTTGAAAAAGAATACAAACTTCACAGGAGGGCTAATAAATTTGACTTTATATACAACAATTTATATTATATTATACAATTTCTATTACACATTTATATACAACAACTTTATATAATTGTATAAAAGTATTTCTCGACTTTTTTCTTTAAAAAATACAGTGTGTATATAGTTTTAATTACTTTTTTATTTATTTAGATTTAATCATTTGCATGTTAAATTAAATTATATTAAGATTTTTGAAATTAGTCATTTTGTAATAAATCGGCAATTAGTTATTTGCTTGGGTTTATAGTTTACTATGATCATTTTCAATGTTTTTTTTTAATATTTTATAAGGCAATTTTATTTATTTATTTATTTTTTCAAAATGAAAATTCATGACCTGAAAGTTTTTTTACTGTGAGCTTCAGAAATAGACCTGGACAGTTTTCAATCAGCTGAAACAATGGACATATTTCAGAAGTGTGCTGCTTCTGGATATTGTGTTTGCGTTTTTGATTGTTTAGGTCTTTTAAAGGGATTTCCCTTCAGTCTGATGGGTGCTGAAGAAACCCAAATAAGCATTGGGACAATATATACACATATCTGAAAAGTAAGGATGAAGAGCGAGTTATAATTTAAACTAAAATACCCTAAGTTTAACAGAAACGGACGCTGCAGCTATCAGTAATGAGAATAAAGAAACTTACTTTACTCTTGACCTCGAGCATCGAGCAGCAGCGCAGCGAATGAGCCTTTCTGATCGGCCGGTTCATGTTGTCTGGTGAGCGGCGAGCGCTGGACTGAGTCCCGCTGTACAGACACCGCGCGGGTTTGTGCAGCTCAGCAGGACTCGCATCCCTCAAAACGCGGAAAAGCAGGACGAAGCTCTTGTAAACTACAGGACAACACGGAAACAATGACATAATTTCCTGACATTAGGCGGCTAATAGGCTTCTTCATTTTGGATAAACATGCAACATTGAGTTTGTGAAACGTGCTGACTAAACAAATGGTCAAGGACAAAAAGAATTTTTATTGCATCATATTTCCCCCCCCTCAATACATGGACACTTGTCCTCATTTCTCCGCAGGAAAAATGACATAATATGTCATAATAGCCTACATTTTTATCATGAGCTACACTATAAAAATGCAATATTCCACACAATTCATGCTGTACCAACACAAAATCTATTAGCTACACATAACTATTAAATATATAAAACTACCCTCATACTCAAATATTTATAGAAATCACTTTGAAAATTTTATATGAATACTATAGATGTTACATAGTGACAGCTGAGATTATTTATAAACTGCAGTCTGTTAATGATTACAAATTATATGATGAAAATTGTAATGATACAATAATACAGAGTTCTTTTTTAGGTTACGCAACTAGTGACTTTTAACACAACTTGCTTATATTTTAACATTTGTTTTCAAATTCTGAATCACAGATTGCAAATGCTGATCACAATCATTAACACTGCCATTTTTTAAACAATGAAGCTAAACAAAAAGATGCAGTGCAATATTTTAGAGACCGCACTGATATGATAATAATATGATTAGAGCACTGTGGAAAATTGTTGGGCTCCAGACAATTCCTTCTAGTTGCCCCAAAATAAATTGCTTAAATTAATTAAAGTGTTTTACACGTTTAAGTGTATGGGTGTTTCTCAGTGCTGGGTTGCGGCTGTAAGGGCATCCGCTGCAAAACGTATGCTGGATAAATTGGTGGTTTATTCCGCTGTGGAGACCCCAGATTAATAAAGGGACTAAGCCTAAACATATATGAATGAATGAATACACATTTAAGTGGATTGAACATAAAACAATTAAAATGTCACCAAAAAACTCAAGACATCTCAGCACATTTTAAATAAGTAGTTTGAACACACAGCAATAATATTTTTTTCAGAGAGTGAATCAATCAATAATGTACAAAAACAAACTTATTTTATGAATCAGCTGTGATCATGCCATGCATAAGATGTACTTATAATCTGATTATGAGCATTTTAAAAATGTAATTTCTAATTACAAACACTGCACTTTTGGAACTTGACTATGTAAACTATGTAATCCAGATTATACAGTTTTACCTAGCAATATAGTCAGTGATACTATATAGTAACAGATAAGTAATAACCCCATAATAAAGATGCAACAAAAAAAAAGTCATTATATAATTGATATGAAAACATTTATACAGTACAAAAACTATGAAAAGACACATTTTTCAGTATTGTGAAATTTATTTTTGAATAATTCTTACAAATTCTAAAAATATATTCTGTGGGTAAAATATTGACAAAACCATCCCTTGGGTTAATTAGACCATAATTGACCAACATTCATTGAAAACCAACCCTAGCGAGTGTTTTGATATTTTTTTATGATTACAATTATGGGAGATATTTTTTGGACACAAATACATGAACTTTTAATAAGCTCTTTATTCAAACACAATCTTTAATGTTGTGTATATAACACTTAAAATCACAAAACATAATCACGCTTACTGCTGATTACACTATCTGTCTTTAAAATGCAATGACTGCCGTTTCTGTTGGAGTAGTTTTGTTGTTTTGCTGGTTTAAAACAGGAGGGCCAGATGGCTGTGTGAGCTGGCTCTATGCCTTGACTTCATCAGGAAGTTGGCCTTCGTTTAGAATGGCCAAAGCATTGGTCACCATCCTCTCCACCATGAGCTGAGACGTCTCCAACGTGTGTGTTCCTATATGAGGCATGACGATGACATTTGGGAAGGACAGCAGGGGGTGATCCCTGAATATAACAGGTCAGAACACATGTCATTATATTACAGCATTTTACACACTAATGATTCAGTTGAATGATTTTTGTATGGCTCTCAATGCAAATATGTAACAGAAACTTCATAAACAAGCCCATAATTATTTGATTATTTATTCACCATCTAGGTCTTATATTATTAATTATGTATTACAAATAATAGAGCTTGCAAAATGTTAGAATGAAGGACTTTCGGTTTGGCAGGAATATAAACAGTTGTGTATTCCAAGCAGCTCTGTTAATAACATTGCTGACCAAACCAAATGCAATTAACGAAAAGGTGTGCTTAGCAAAAACAAACCGGGGCAGTGGTTCAGGATAAGTGACATCTAAAGCAGCGGCTCGGATCATTTTCTTCAGGAGAGCGTCCACTAAAGCATCTTGGTCCACTACTAGACCTATGAGAAGAAAGGTAGTTCTGAAATGAGTCTGGTTGCTTTTAATAGGACTGCTTTGTTCCAGAATATTACATTACCTCTGCTGATGTTGATAAAGGTGCTATTGGGTCTCATCATGGCAAACTCTTTGGCACTGATCAGTTTGTGCGTCTGTGGGGACAGATTGACCACCACCATGACAAAGTCTGACCTCTGGAGTAGCTCAGTCATGCTTGCACAATATGTGGCGCCAACTGCTCTCTCTTCATTCTCAGGCCTAAACATAGAAAACACTGAATTTACATTTTAATTAAAGAATACAGTTCATCCAGTTAAGTTTGGTGTTAATTTACTCACCCTCAAGCCAAATATGTGGGTGACTTTAAAGATTTGTAGCTGAAACCATTGTCTTTGGTGATTTATAAAATGCAGGTCAATAATTACAGGCACTTTTGTGAGTGAAAAACAAATACAGACAAAACAAAATTAAATTAACTACCAGTTGCTCCTGACAATATACTGTGGCCTTGTGAAGCAAAACGGTCAATCTTAGGAAGAAACTGAACATTAATTACAACATTATTACCTTTGATTCAATTTGTTTCACATCATAAATGCTCAGTGTATCATCAAAAGCCACACGGATTTTGTTTTGCCAATATGTTTTTCTTAAGGGCTGTGTCTGAAAGCTTTAAAATGCTGTTTTTGAAGGCCGAATCCAAATTCTGCTTCTTTTCTTATATCAGAAAGGTACAATTTTCGAATATCCCACAATTCTGTGTGTATCCTTTTTCACAGTTGAGTTAAAAAATAAGCAAGGCGTCTCTGAAGCACTGCTTGAGTGTCATTTTGTGTGTAAATTACAGCTGCACAATATTGCAAAAAATGATATTGTGATATTTTATTTTTCTGCAATATGAATAGTTTCCCAAGATAGTTTGAATAGCACTATTTGATGATTTTCTGGGGAGTCTAACAGTGTTCAGGTACAGAAATTCAATAAACACGATACCAAAAAAAAGCTTTTCTTACTTTGTCTCGTTTCTTGTACAAATATCTACAAATTCTTAATAGAGTAAAAAGTATTGTTTTGTTTTCAAATAGTTTTTCAATTTTGTTTTCAAAGTTTTTTAATTCAAAAACAAGTCAAATTATCTGCCAGTGGGTTAAATAAAAAATGGTTTTGCTTTGAAATGTAGATATTTGGACTAGAAACACAAAAAGACATTGCGCTCTATTTTGACGATCCATGCGCAAAGTCCAAAGTGCAGGGCGCAAAATCATTAAAGGCATGTCAGAATCCACTTTTGCTATTTTAAGGACGGAAAAATCAGCTTTGCGCTGTGGCGCATGGTCTAACAGGGTTGAGGTTATTCTCTTAATGAGTTATAGGTGTGCTTTGAGAATAAATCAATCAGAGTCTCATCTTCCATTGCCTTTAAGAGTCAGTTGCGTTGCGCCATGGCGCATTTGCTATTTACATGATGGACTTTGTAAGTGAAAAAACTGAGCGCTGCACTAGCGAGAAAACAGTTTAACAGACCATCTACAGCACAAGAATGAGAGATGAGCCTCCTCATTCTTTACTTTCACTTTTACTCTCGTGGCTAGGGAAACGTGTTGTACACACAGACATACATTAGCCTATACTATATTAATTGTGTTTGTTAAGCGCAAAGATTTGTTTGAAAACTATTTCTAAATTCAGTTCTAATTTCCAGCAAACAAAAAAATTAACAATAATAACGAAGTGTAATCAAAAAACTGAGTTATATCCAAACACACATGCTGTGCCCCATATGGTCTAAAACCTGACAGGTGGACAAATCTAAACTTGTTTTTATCAAAACAAATATAAATATGCATATAATAAATGATACTACTACTAATAATAACATTATACAAAAGCAAACTGGGCAACGCAGTGGCGCAGAAGGTAGTGCTGTCACCTTAGCAAGAAGGTCGCTGGTTCGAGTCTCGGCTAGGTCAGTTGGCATTTCTGTGTAGAGTTTGCATGTTCTTCCTGTGTTCACATGGGTTTCCTCCGGGTGCTTAGGTTTCCCCCACACGGTTAAAGACATGTGGCACAGGTTTAATTGGGTAGGCTAAATTGTCCGTAGTGTATTAGGGTTGCGGCTGGAAGGGCCTCCGATGCGTAAAAACGTGCTGGATAACATGGCGGTTCATTCCGCTGTGGCGACCTCCGATTAATATTGGGACTAAGCCGAAAAGAGAATGAATGAATGAAAAAAGCAAACTGTTATGAATAATTTGAAAAAGATCCCCGAGATAAGGAAGGCATGAAAGTATGGTTTGTATATTTATGTAGTCTAGAAAATAATCATATTTGTAATATTTTAATCCTTTAATTCTTTTTCATTTGTAAAGATATTTGCATATTGCTGTACATTCTGTCTGTATTAAGCAATGTGTAAACCAGGCGCACAACTAACGCGGTCTGCGCTGGATATTAGACTAGCTTTGATCTGGTCTATTAAACAGTCTATTATAGCTCCTCAAAATAGCAAAGCGCCAGCAATGCGCCATAACACAGCTGCTTTTTTAGACCTGAACGCCTACGGGCACACATATAAGCGGAAATGTATTTGCTATTTAAAAAGCGTGGCGCAAAATGTCAAAATGACTCGTGCGCCAAGCTGAAACTAACAAACAGAAATTGTGTCATGCCTTGCGCCGCATTGCACCGGGTGTATGACAGGGCCTAAAAAGTGTAATTAAGAAAAACTTTTTTTTTTTTTAATTCTACATAAATTGTATAAATTCCATATAAATACAGTGATGACATACAATTTTATAGTTCCTGGTAGGGCTGTGCGATTAATCGAAATCGAATTGCAATCACGATATGGAACGTTGAGATTGGCTAATCGCAAAAGGCTGCAATATGAAATATATATGTATTATTTAATTTCCCCCGCCCAGAGCAAATGCATGTGGGAATATGGGAACATTTTGGTTTGAAAGTCACAGACACTGAACAAAAACAGTTAATTTGTAAGAATTGTTGCCACAGCACAAGGAAATACAACAAAACAGCACCTCAAAAAATACCACAGGCAGCTATATAAGTAGTGTCTAGCTAAAAAGTCAATTGGAAGTACTGCCATGACACTCAATCTGATAGCTAGTAACAGCAAAGTACAATTTCAGAGTTGTTTTAGCCATGTTTGCTGAGTGTTCTGTATTTAAATAATTAATTTTTTTATTTGTATAATAAGCTACACTATCTTTCTTTTAACTAACACTCTGCATTTTAGCAGTAAAAAGCTACGATACACATCATTAAGCTGAAACTTGACTACAAAATCAAATTGCAAATCAAATTGAAATTGCATTATCTGTCAAAAATTATTTAAAAAATAATCACAATTAGATATTTTTCCTAAATCGCACAGCCATAGATCCATGTCAACTATAATTCAGACTGGACACTGCATATAGTAAAGCAAATAGTAAAGTCTTATTGTTAAGCAATAACTAATCATTTTTATCCAAAAGAACAGAAAATGAGACATAAAAAAGTGCAAAATATTCACCTTCGATTTCTATTGTGATAAAGAATCTTCATGTCAAACCCTTGAGCCCTCTTGGCTATTTTGTACCCAATTCTCCCCATGCCGATGATGCCCAGAGTGGCCCCGCTAACATCAGTGCCCATAGTGGACTCTGGAAAATCATCAGACTCCCGAAATTTGGAAAAATGTTGCCCTAAAGAGAAACCAAAAAAAAAAAATAATCACAATGAACTTAAAAGTATGAAAACAGGACCAACTGAACAACTGGTCTCAATTCTCACCCTCAATAATCTTCCTGGCAGATGCCAACATCAGACTCATGCCAATATCAGCAGTAGCATTATCCACTACATGAGGAGTGTTGGACACTTTAACACCAAAGCTATTGATGAGAGGAATATCAAGGTGGTCCACTCCTACCCCTCCATTAATGACAGCTTTGAGGTTCGGCAAAGACTGTAACAGGTCTCGGTCAACATTAATATTGGGACCCCACGAAAACACTGCCTGGATTTTGGCAGCGAAGTCCTCTTTCCTCTGTACAAACCTCTCGTATGGGATTATAGTGAAGTGTTTGTCGATGCAAGGTTCAAAACACTTATAGATGCTTCCAGGAGCTCCAAGTGTCTTGGTTAATATGCATGGCTTCTCCATAACCTGTGAGAATATTAGCCATTAGCATACATGAGCTAAAGCCTATTGTAAAAAACAGCACGCTAGCACATTTGTTTGTAAACATCTTATTTGAAATATTATTTGTCATATAGCCTTACCACTCGCGTGACAGTCGATCGCAGCCTGTGTATACCCTGGAAACGTATGACTGTCATGTGTCTACATATAAATATTAGGTACTAGATGTGGTTAATGAAGCACCGATTAAGACCAAAGGTACGACTTCCTATAAATCATTAGTGGGTAATAGTCAAGCCTCCACCCCTCCAAAAAAGGCGACTGTCAAAAACTGCAAGCTACTTGAAACTGTTTCTAACTCATGTTTTCGTATCTCGTCACAAAATTGCTAGTCACTCAGATGACCAGAAGGGGGAGTGAGAAGCCCATGAATCTTTTGTGAAATGGTCATAAAAAAAGTACTGTAACTTGTTACACATTTCATTCACAAGAAAGATTAGGTGCTTATGTAGTTGTTTGATGGACATTATGTGTTCATTTGTAAGCATTATTATTTTTACATTTGGCTTTATTATTTGAACTATTTCCTTCCTTAATAAAAATAACCACAAACAAAACAATTGTTATTGTAGTTCATTAATGTTCACCCCAAATTAACCATGGCATTGATACTTGTCATCTCTTATGAAAATTTTACAACGAACAGACCAATAAAAACATTATAGTAAAAAAGTAATCACAATTAACCATGGTTTTGCTACACTAACTAATAGTTTAACCATTATCTTTGTGGTAAAATATGGTAATCAATCTGACAAAAACATGTTTACAACTGTGATAAAACCCACAGTTAATCTTCATAAGGGATTTTTTACATGTTTCATATGAATCCCATTCATAAATTCTTAGTGTGACAAGATTTCTATATGCAGCATTATTCATACATTCATTCATTTATTTTTTTGTCAGCTTAGTCCCTTTATTAATCAGGGGTCGCTACAGCGGAATGAACCGCCAACTTATCCAGCACATGTTTTTAAGCAGCGGATGCCCTTCCAGCTGCAACCCATCTCTGGGAAACATCCATACACACTCATTCACACATATACACTACGGACAATTTAGCCTACCCAATTCTGTTTCGCATATCTTTGGACTGTGGGTGAAACCGGAGCACCCGGAGGAAACCCACGCGAACGCAGTGAGAACATGCAAACTCCACACAGAAACGCCAACTGACTCAGGTGAGGCTCGAACCAGCGCCCTTCTTGCTGTGAGGCGACAACACTACCTACTGCGTCGCCTATGCAGCATTATAACAGTTGTAATTATATTACTGATGTGCCAAGCAGGTGGAGGCTTAATTGCTAAAGATTTGAACAAAATAAAGACATAAAATATATATTGGTGGTTGTGTTGGTGCTGAGGGACACTGCATTTATTGCAGAACATTTAGTAGATGGCTATTAATGGCTGTAGCACAGCTCCAGCTTTCCTGTGGCCTCCATCTGTTCGAAAATCCACATGAAGAGATTCTGCATCAGAAAGCAACATCAAAATAATTCACTATACTGAAGCTCCAGTAAAGCAAATATGTTTTTATTTCTACTATACAGAACTCTAAAAAAAACTTAGTGTTAAATCTGAGTACAGTCTTAATGAACAAGGTGTAATATTTGTTCTTTTACATACTGTTTCATTGTTGGCCATAACACACTGATTCCCTATTGATTTGTGCTAAAAACCCCAAGTCCATCTTCTACAGTTAAAGGTATGTCCACCATAATTATTTATTATTCACTTCTCATACAGTATGTGTGCAAAGGTTTAGCCGGTTATATTTTAATGAGAGTGATAGATAAATAATCCAAATAACCAGCCCTTTAAGCAAACAATGCAAACACTCTCGATCTTTTACAGCAGATCAATCTCAGCCAACTTGAACTGTGTCCATTCTTTGTGACGAAAACTTCTTCCTTGAGAGTTTGCTTGGTTTGGCAATCAACCAAAAATCTTTTCTGTTCTGTTGAGCACTTCTCTTCAAAGTGTAGTGCTTCACAATTAGCCTACATCTCTGACTCTGCCCCAGGGACAGGCATGTTTTAAAGAGATGAATTGATTTCCCTGCCAGCAGGGTGGCCCATTATTAGTGGTGAATTACAGCACTCATGTATATAAATACACTACTTAAAACTCTATTTTCTAGATCTAAATGGGAGAAAATGGTCTTGATTTGCAAACTGCAGCAGGCTCATATGATTTAACAAAACTAAGATTAATACAATGTTTTCTTTTTCAAAATTAACTGATAAGAAAAAAGTATACAGTACCGTACCACTAGGCATGGTACGATTAGCGTTCAAGCTATACCGCGGTATGGAAAAGTCAAAGTTTTAAAACTGCCAAAGTTTTCTGCTATACCGTTTCTATGGTATGTGAACGATTTTTTTTATGAAAGTTTATTTATTTGTTTATTTATTTAGATATTTATTTAGATATTTATTTTTGTTTTTAGGACAGCAGGATCTATAGCAGAAAAGATATCCAAAGATACTGTTTCAAAGTGTAAAGAACTCTGTGTTTTTGAAACTTACACAGACAGAACAAGTCAATAATTTATTTGAATTTTTTAGCCAGACTTGTTCACTGTTTCAAAATAATTTAAATGTTTTTCAAATTAAACTATATTGTGTAATTTTTTTTTTTAGTTTTTTACCCAGACATTAAAAAATAACATATTTTAGAGCAGTAATTACAATACCGTGAAATCGTGATGTTTTTATCTAAGGTTATCATACTGTCAGAATCTGCCCATGCCTACGTTGCAGCAAGCTCATTTTATGTGATTTAACAAAACTAACGATGCTACAATCGTCTTCAATATTATTTTAATATATATATATATATATATATATATATATATATATATATATATATATATATATATATATAAGTATATATATATTTATTTATTTTTTTTTTATTTTTTATTTTTTATTAACTGACGGGAAAAATCCTAAACTTAAAACCCAATAAGCTTAGGTAACTCAAACCATTTGAAAAAACCAATCACAACAAACCATTTAAGTTCAAAAACTAATCCTGATGTGTACTGTGAACTTCATTCAAGTTAAAGTAATGAGGTATTTAATTAACACATCACCTTAAACACTGAGTTCAAAACTCTTTTCAAATGAGTAAAATTAACTTTCAGGAAATTTTGAGTTAACTACACTATTGATTTGACAAAGTTGAAGTGTAGATATCAGCCATAAACACTCAGAAGTTTCAGTGTATTCTTGTGATTCAATGACTGGTCATAATAATACTTATAATGCTCAGCGTATATAAATACACCCCTCACAAATCTATCTTTTAAATTCATATTTTAATAGGAATCTATACAATAGTCAGTACTGAAACCAAATCTGGAGCTTATCTAACAGAATAACTTATGATAACGGTCCACAAAGTTCATTCATTTATTTTCTTGTCAGCTTAGTCCCTTTATTAACTCTGGGTTGCCACAGCGGAATGAACCGCCAACTTATCCAGCATGTTTTTACACAGCGGATGCCCTTTCCAACTGCAACCCATTTCTGGTAAGCATCCACACACACACAGACACTCATACACTACGGGCAGTTTAGCCTTCCCAATTCACCTGTACTGCATGTCTTTGGACTGTGGGGGAAGCCGGAGCATCCGGAGGAAATCCATGCGAACACAGGAAGAACATACAAACTCCACACAGAAACGCCAACTGACTCAGCCGAGGTTCAAACCAGCAACCCAGCGACCTTCTTGCTGTGAGGCGACAGCACTACCTACTGCGCCACTGCGTCGCCGGTGTGTGTATGTGAATGGTCCACAACAGCCAAATTTAAATGTTATAGAAAAATATTAAGTACAAAATTTTAAAAAGAGGAAAAATCAATAGAAGCAAATAAATTGAAAAATGTAAGTTGTAATTTGTTGCAATATTTTGCTTGAATGTAATGGTATTAACTTTCAATTTCTTAATATGTTTGATGACTAAAATATAATTTTAATACATATATCTGTTTAATGAATATGTTTTGTTTAAAATTCATTGCCTATATTTACTGAAAAATTTATACAAATATTCAATTTTAAAATGGGGTGTACTTAATTGTACTGAGCACTGTAACTATGGCATTTGGCATTGTAAAACTACTTTCCTCAAGTGTTTGGTAGTACACTGGTTTAATCATCTGACAAAAACCATTACCGATATCTTGCAGTTTGATTTTCCTGTTGGCATTTACAACTCTAGAGTAATGAAATGGGCACTTGTGCTGTGATATGCCCCTGATACCTCTTGAGGTTATTTTTAACGCTGTTCCAATTAAAGGGGCCTATCTGCCCTCAGGCTCTGGCTGAATGATAACGTTCTTCCTGCTAGAAAGACAAAGACTAGACTTCAGCAGATCTTACAGCTGCACAATCAGGAATATTCCAGCACCATTTCCAGCTAATAAAAACGCAAAGGAAACAACAGCTGGAAATTAAGCAGCCTGTACTGTTTTCTAAGCATTATGGAGATTATACATCAAAATGACAATAATAAATGTCCCTTTTCTCTGTTATTTTTGTAACTCGATGGTAATGCACACATTGTTAGCTCTTGATAAATTGCTTGTTCTCATTTGTAAGTCCGCTTGCATAGTGTCCACTAAATCAAATCGAACAAACTTGTACAAATAAATAACAGAATATGACGCAAAATGAATGACTCATAACACTGCACACTGTAATGAGGAAAATACCCCATCAGATTCATCCCCATATACTGGAATTGCTGATCGGTGCGTTTATTTTTAGAAATAATCCATGGATTATCACAGAGAGGGGTTTGCTATAATCCTTAAAGACTCCTTGATTTCACCAACATTGGCATAGTACAATGCATTCTGGGATATGCTGGCAGATGTGGATCAGTGTCTATAAGGGTGTGCCCTTAAAGCATTTAAGGGTTTCCATGTGAATTGTGTCGCATTTATGTTCATTTTCATTTTATATGCTACTGATTAGAAATAAATGATAAATTGACACTACTGATTTCAATCTGATATTGGCAAATGAATCAGGATGAAGGCAAATGAAAGTGCTTTTTATTTTGCATGATTTACAGACTCAAATCTGGATTAAATAATTAGAATCCATTGTATGAAATGAAAAAAAAAGAGTTAAATAAATAAACACTGCTATTGTAAAACTTACTATATATATATATATATATATATATATATATATATATATATATATATATATATATATATATATATATAATCTCTGTTAATGTTTGTTCATGTAATGAAGAAATTGCCTCAATTTACTTATCAGTTAAACTCTTTTGGCCTTAAATAATTATCAAAAAAATTAAGTTAACATTTCAATAATTTAATAAAATATTTAAAAGCTTACACGTCTTTGATTTGAGTTATTGTTTTGTGATTTTGTCCCTCTTTCATTTTTTTGTGTATCAATATAAATCCCAATCAAATTAAATTGTTCTAAACAAAAGTAATTAAAAGTAACCCGAAATTAATCAGAATACATGATTTTAAATGAGTATTATAATACTTGGTTTCTAACTTTAATTAGATGATGTGATTTGTAAGCAAGTCCTGTTATGGGGTCCAAGCACTGAAACTCAAAACTTTCTCTTTCTCTGAGGATATTTTTTTCTCTATAGATTATTTTTTTGTTTGTTTGTTCTTTGTAAACAAACTGCATGCTAAAATATATTTTGAGTGAAACTTTTATCTTCTTTTATGATTATTTTCTTTTATTGTTGACATTTTTTGACGTTTTGATTTTGAACAAAGCCTGAGATCCACACAACAAAAAAATAAATAAAATAAAAACAGTAATACTGTAATAAAAGGTACAAAATCAGGATTGAAACATCAGACAGTCTCTCTCATTTAACCAAAATTGTACAGTTTTTTTTTACTGGCATCATTTATTTTAGCTGTAGTGTATTCCAAACTAATAATGTCCAGTAGATAGAGACTCCAGGATCAGCTGGAGCAGATGAATCCAGCCATATTTTTAGTATTTTTTTTTTTTGTGCAGCAGCAGCAGTCAGAACAACTGACCTCCAACTGAGTCCTTCTTTGGTTGATAGATAAGGAGAATGATGAATCGTTCAGCATGAGAAAAAGCAATGGGTCGCATGAACTTTTATCTTCTTAATGTAAAATTAAAAACAATAAACTTACAACAACAACAAAAAAACAATTATCTAACTAACTATGTGCAATTAAATAGCCATATTTGTGGTTAGATATTAATATTTGCGTGTGTAGTATTGAAGAAACATTCCACTATTCATGGGGGCCCCAGTTTCGAAAAGAAGTAACATTAAAATCTTATTGGTTAAAGACAGATTTTGCAACATATACTATCGAAAATGCAGGGTTCCACACAATTCATTCATGTTGTCCCCAAAAAATCAAATCCATTAACTTTTCAACACTTTCAACAAATTTATGTTTATTGAACATTAAAAAATTAAGTTGTCCCAATGAAATCTGAAAGATTGTGTTGTTTCAGCTCATTTAATAAAGTAGTTTGAACATGTAAAAAATATTTTTTGAGTGTATGATAGAAATTTAGTAAAATAGCTATATGATTAATATAGGCTTCTTGACATTGGTTGGGGCCCCTAATTTCCCGGGGTCCTAAGCCGCTGCTTACCTTGCTTATTGGCAAAGTCCACCCCTGATTCTATGGTCGGTTCCATTCCTGCAAAAAATAATAATAATAATAATAAAAAACTCTTCATAATAAAAAAAGCACATTTTAAAAGTTTTTGACACAAAGAAAATCTTTTTTTTTTGAGGAACCAAATATTTTTTGTCTATTCCATCTCTGCAAACCCCCCCTATTTGAAAGAATGCAGTCTTTTTTATGCATAATTGTTTTCATGAACTTATTATACAGTAATTACAATTGGCAGCTCAGTCAAATACCGTTTAGTAATAATAGTTCAGAATCCATAGGGCTAAAGGAAGTTCAAACATGTTAAAAGACCAGATTAGTGAGGTGTTTCGAGACAGCCTTTTTAAATGTACCGCTAAACGTGCTGAGGGTGAATGATAGGACGGATCCTCCTATGAAAGACGCCACTAGGTCGCATTAACATCGGTGCCATTGAGTTCACACAATATGAGGGAGCACAGCGGCAGGCAAAAACCAACTCCAGATTTTTCAAATCGGTGCGTTTGGCCGTTTTGTACCCGCATAATGTAACAGTAAACGACACGTTACGAGCTACGAGAATGGGAGCCAAAAGCTGGCTTTTATTTTGACTGCAAGAATGTGGTGCGGGGAGCCCTGACAATACGCCGTTCAGCTTTCAAATGGAAGATTGGCTATTCCAGCTCGTTTCGGTGGAAATGTTGCCGCTGCTTTTTTCACACAGACCCTTTTTAATCGCCATGGATCTTCGGATTTGGATTCTTTTACCTCTGTCGTGTCTTGGGCTGTGAAAAAGAGAAAGACAGGCTACGCCGATCGACCGGGATACAACGTTCTCTGCCTACCTCGACATTTTGCTACCAGGGATTTAAATAATCACGTGCTACAACAACGGAAAGATTTTTTCTTCTTAATAAGAATTGATGTGGCCGTCTGACCTTTAATGAGTTCAACCTGGAGGGCAAAATGAGTAGGGAAAGGCCGAAGAGAAATATCATTCAAAAGAAATTTGTAAGTGCAAATTTTGTCGTTTAATCCTTTACGTGACCATCGAATTTAGTGGCATCTGCCTTGTAATTTGTATTAATCACACCGCTGTTTCCCCCCTGTTAAGGTAACATCAGGTTTGCTGACAGAATTGGGTCAGATGTTATAAACGAGCAGTCCGTGAACCATCTTCAGTGTGAATTAAGGGTTAAGGACGGGCTGGCCGATGCGTATCTCGCTGTTGACCCAAATAATGCATTGGGCTTTTGAAGTGTACCTTGATACGTTTCGCATTTCCGGTGTCTGTGTTTGTTTCCACTGTCTGTCAGGTTTGTCATAAAGGAGCTCCTGTCGATGTAGACGACCGTCTCGCGACACTACCGTGGTCAGTTTGTGGTCGTGTGTGTGTTTGCGGTCGTCATTCTGTAAGTGTGTGTACGTGTGTCTTGGTCGGTTTTTCAATGTCACAAGAACTTAGCTTGTCAAATCGTGGGCAGATGCTTGTGTTGTGGTAAGGGCTGAGGTGGTTTACAGCCTCTCTCTGACCTCCTGCTGTTTGTGTGCTGTGTGCAGACTGACCTCTTTATTGCTAAGATATGCTAAAACTGGTCCTCCACCCCTTCTGCTTTCACTCGGGTCTGATTTAATCCAAGCTCTTTCTTTAGTTATTTTGTCCATCATATGTGATATCCTGATCAGTGGCTAGAGTTATCTTTAACTAAAAAGTAAACATTTTGACTACTTGAACTAATGTTATCTAATAAAATGTTTTTTTTTTTTTTTACTGTAAATAAATGTATATAGATACACTAATTTCATTTAGTTTATTGTGATGTAATGAGGTAACTAAATGTAGCCTATATTAAATAATAAATTAAATTATTCAAAATTATTTGTTTAATTAGTAAATTATATTATTCATAATTAAAGATATATGAAACAAATGATAAAATGACAAAAACAGAACAAATTTGCTAAAATTTTAAGAAAAAAAAAAAGAATTCAAAGCTATTAAATTGTAATAATTGTATTATAAGTATGTATCATAGCAGGTCCACTGGCCCCTTCTTAACGGTTGTGTATAAAAGGCAATGCCATTTTATTTCTTTAGGTTTCTATTGGTTGCAGCCTATTAATTTTTATTTCTAAATCTGTTTGATTTGTCTGGAGGTACAATTCTGCTCGTAAGTTTACACCCCCCCTGCAGAATATAAAAAACTGTAATCATTACAATAAAATAAGCAGGATCGTATAATTGCTTGTTTTATTTTGTTTAGTGCTCTGAATAAACTATTTCACACAACAGCTGTTTATACTCACCAAGGCACAAATGATTATTGAATATCTAGAAATTATCCTAATCAAAAGCTTGCATACTCTTAAATAATACTATCTATTGTTACCTGGATGATCTAAAGTATTTTATGTTTGTGATAGTTGTTAATGAATCCTTTGTTTGTCCCGATCAGTTAAACTGGATACTTTCCTTCAGAAAGTTTACAGCATCTTCTGTATATTGTAGCACTTTCCAACAGTGACAGTGTAGTTTTCACTTTTATTATTTTTTTACAAGGACAACTGAGGGTCTCAAATAAAACCCTAACTAAAAGTAATAACATTCACTGATTCTCAACCAAGTAACACAATGCACTGAGAACAGGGGTGTAAACTTTTAAACAGGATGCTAACTACAGTTTTACATTTTAATTTGATTCAATTTTACATTTTATTTACTGCCTTTCAGCAGCTAATACTTCCATGTTCCCTGAAGACAAAATAAGTACAACGAATGTAAACCAATCATCTATTTATATTTTATAGACATTTCATTGAAAACTGATTTAAAATAATATGTAGGAAAAAGACCTTATTAATATTTCAAAGTATTTAGATTAAGCTGCTAACCTTGATGAAAATGTATGTTACAAATGACTTTTTAAAGAGTGGATTTTGTAATCTGTAGTAAAATACTGTTTTTTTATTATGAAAGCACAGAATTCTGACTCATCGACGTGAAATACATTTTTATAGTAACCTTCCCAACTACCTGGTATTAATGTATGAAATGTGTGCCTTCCTGCCTGCTTGTTCAGATTTGTCAACCATCCAACTCAGAGTTTAGTGCAACACACAAATCCTGTTAAGTGAATAAACCAGTGTTACAGGCATTGACAACGCTGGTGAGTAAAAAGAATATGGATGACAACCACATTTTTGATCATAATCCTTACGTTCTGGTATAATGTAGCAAAGTATAAATGGCTTTTTTTACAACATTTCCCATAATGATAGTTGCCAGTAAATGGGTATCAGGTGATCTTTTGTGGATGTTAAAATCCATTTGACTGCATGTTTTGAGCAATCTGATAAAATGCATTTTCCACTATCTCTGAAAGTGGTCAAGAGTTGGCTTTTTTTTTCTTAACGTTGATTAATTAAAATGCATCTTAATACCAAATGTAAATAGTTCATCAATGAATCTTAAACAGGCGTTTATTAATTTCTTAGATTTGCAAGTGTTTTGGTGAACCCTCGGTTGGAATGCTTTTCGATGTACATAAATAAGAGATATTTAGCAACAGCAATAGTGTCTTGAAGGGGCGGGAGGTAATGCTAGAGAGCATATCATTGGTCTGAAGATTTGATAAACAGAGTTGACATCGGTCGTTGATTCATTTGGCTGTAAGTGACAAAACTAAAAACTTGAAAGTTTATATCTACTTAATGCTCATTTTGTCACTGTTTTGTTGCAATACTGGAATTCCATACAAATTAGTATCGCGAACATTTGAGCGCTGTAGAGCACGTTCTTAAACACCACTGATTTGCCATTGTGTTTATGTGCTCAACAGAAATGATTGTGATTGGCTGTAAAGCTCATCCGTTTATCGAAAACACAGCTGTTTACTGCACCACATTTCAGTACCGTTTGGTATCGAATTCCAGTATCATGACAACCCTAATCACATACCCCTTGCCTTCTGACATTACATATTGCGACAACACTTAGCAAAGCTCTGTGATTGGTCGGCTTGATATCGGTGACGAGTGTGGGTGGGGCTGAGAGCTGTGGGAGTGGAGCGAGCCTGTTGAAACGAGTGTCTGTTGACAAGTGAGTGTCGAGTTCCATGAAGTAGCTCCAATTAGAAACTTTTGTCTTGATAAAGTTGTTGCACGTCCACTGGTTCCCGCCTCTGAATAAGCCAGTTTGAGATACTTGTACATTAAGGTAGAATTCAGAAAAAAAATCAACAGAGAGCAATCTAAAGTCCCACTGCCAGATAGCATTTTGAAAGTGTTATTGCAGAGCAACTTAAACAGCATGCAGAAGTATAAATGCACCACTACGCGCAAGGCATGCCCTATGGTTCACGGCGATCACTCAACTCCAAAGTGTAAATCAGCCTTTAGAAGAACCATTTTTGGTTACCTAAGGAAGATTAAAAGGTCCATTTTGTCCTTTTTAACAAATCTAATGAACTCTCTATTGAAAACTTTTTATGAAATTAAAAGTTTCTATGGATGTTAAAGTTTCTGCATGGAACTTAAATGTCATTGAAGAACTTTTATTTATTATAAGTTGATGACTAGTTTCAAATTTACGAGTTGTTCTTTGAGGGTTATTGTTTCATTCAGCTTGCTGTCTGAAGTCTTTGTTTACATCAGTTCTTTGATGTTTAATGGCTGCATGGCTGGAAGTACAAGCTCTGAACATTCAGTTTGGTTTTGTGAAGCTGGGAATGATCACTTTAAAGACCATAGCTTCTTTGTATGATGCTCTGTGCTTTGACTTTAGTCAGTATTCACCACAATTCATTGGATAAAATACAGCTGTCTACATCTAGATGTTTACACATGAGGAGACACTAGCACAAACACACATTTAGCGCTTCATGCTAAAATCAATCAGTCGTCAATATGAAGGTCATTTTATGAATAAGCTTAGCATAAACCTCCACTGTTCTTGAAAACTCAAGGCTATAAGTATAAATAGCCCATTATGCATATTGAGACTGAGAATGTTTTACATTCTTCTTTCTCTCTTGCCAAACCGGATATGGAGGGTTACTAAATCAACACAGAGATCAAGAGATTTCTGATTATGACTGCATGAATCAACAGCACTGTTGATATGTCACTTTTCATTGTAAAGCGACCCGCATTTACACAGTATCTCGGCTGTTACACTTCCTATTATGCGATTTGATCTCATTCTTTCGGTTTGAGAATATTATATAATGTCATTCAGGATTAGGTGAGGTTACGGCACACATTATTACTGTGGATTATTGTATCATTACCAAAGTGTAGTGTAAATGAACAGGCTGTAAAAACAGGGAAAGCTGTAAGAAATCGTTTTTCACGCTTTCTCCCGAGCACCATATGTGAAAACAAATCTATTTAATGTGACAACAGAGCAGAAATTGGCAGATATATATCGCTGGGTGTTTACAGTGTGCACAGACCTGCCTCATATGCCAGAGATGGCCATCTAAACTGAAGCGCTGGTGTCCCGCACTTTTTCTTTGGCCTCAGCAGTCAGAGATATTTGATATACTGTTTAGCTGTTTCGGACTCATCCTTGGCATTGGTTTGCTTCAGTCAGTAACAGAGAAGTAAAGCCCATGCTACACTGACCCACTTTAGGTTTGTGCTACATTCACAAACTCCATGAAGGCTAATTCGTTTGAAGTGTTCGCTTTAAATGGGTTTTTATCTCGCAAATATTGTGTGTTTTTGGAAATCTTGAATAACAGGTTTTGTTCGGTAGCTTAACTGGAAAGAAACCAGACGGTAATTTAAATTTTATCAGGTTTCTTCGTAATTAAGTGTGATTTAAATCGGTTTCTGTTATAATATAAGTATATATATTTTTTTGACATTTCTGGTACATGTAAATGACAGAAACATAATGTATTTCATCTTAATATGTTTTTTCACATTAGTCAGTGGATTGCCTTATAATTCTTGGTTCAGACTTGTGGGTTTCATGATATATTGCAGGGCTCGAAATTAACTTTTTT